AGCATGGGAAATCATAGACTTGGCATTAGAGATAGAAAGAGTATAGAAACAGTGGAAGCTAGAGCTGGTTGGCTAACAATAGTCGGGATTCAAGGATCACGTTTAAGATCAAACACGCCTATTGTTAGCCAAATAGCTTTAGTCTTTCCTGTTTCTATCTGTAATACCATGTGTATCACTTCCTATGTTCTAGTCTCTTGAGTGCCAACCCACACATGTTGGGGTTCTACTTGTTTTGATAAGGTTCACTAAATACATCTCCTTTATGCTTCTGATTCCTTCTTTATCATCCCCTTGCGATCTCTTTTCCTAAAATTAAGGATGTTACCTTGATCTAGTCGTCTTCTTTTTGCTGATCTGCCTGTTTCCTGGTCTTCTCAAAGTTTGTTTAGGCAATATGTATAGTTTTCGCTGATCCTGCCTTTTTCAAGTCTCCTGTTCATTCACTGCACTTGTCTCTTTGAAGAGTTGTTGTGTGGTGCTAAGAATGGCGATACTCACTAACGATGTCGACTACGATGCCGGCAAAACGTTTTGGAATGTACTACGTCCACGGTTTAACTTTGGAAATGACCATGTTGCAAAAATAAGGTCAAACAACTTCTATACAGCGAAAGGAGACTGCGACCACACAAAAGGCCACACCATCTTAGTCTTCATACGTTCGATAAAAGAGTTTTATTTATTTTTATCTCTTAATTGAGAATATTCATACTTAGGGTAAGGCGCCATGAAAAATTTTAGTTGAAAAAGGGCACCGCGACTAGGAATAGTTTGGGAACCACTGAGCTAAAAGGATTGCAAGAGAATAGGCTGTGGGCACGAGGTTGTACGTGTCATTGGTACAAAGGGAAAAGTTTAATGTGAGAAATAAGTAAACCAAGCGAATTGAGTAAAGGAAAGCTTGAGTTGAATATCCTTTGTCCGCTCATGCACTAAATCAGTCAGTGAAACCTCAGTAAGACAACATCAAGCAAGATTCCCCTTCTTGTGAGATTCTTCATTTTGAGAAGGAGTTCGTTTGATCATTGCAGCAGCTCTATTGCTGCGATGAGTTCAGTGCTTTAAATATGACAGAAATTTTAGAATACATGCTCTAAGGCGCCGAATCTGGCACAACGGGAGTCAGAATGCAAATCTTTCAGTGATCCATATCTTTATAACTACGGTTTCCACCAGACAATTGACATGAAAACACGCCACAATTAACTCAGGGTCAGCCCGATTTCCACCTTTAGAGCTGGAGCCTCTTCGTCTTTTAAAAGTTGTCAACAAGGCGTTCTTTACACAGACTAAAAAATTTTACGCGAAAAAAGTCGTAAAGGCTAGAGCAATATTCATGACTTTATAGCCTCAACGATCAGGCTTTACTGAACAATATTCGCATGAGAGTATGGTGTCAAGACTACCAGTAAATCAGTGTAATGAGATGTATTCACCCTATTTCGTCTAAGGTGATGAAGGACTGGCAGAAGAATTTTCCCACAATGATATGAGTTGAGCTGGCGTTTCCATTGAATTGCACATAGTCTTGCTTTCCCAAAAGTTGTTCTCATCTCGGCTGGAGTGGACTGCAGTTTCGACCTCGCATCGGTCTTATCAACACCCTCAGCGGGAATCGAGTGGTTAGCGTGTCAAGCTACCGTCCTGCACTGTCGCGGTTCGAGTCCCGCTGAGGGTGTTGATAAGACCAATGCGAGGTCGAAACTGTAGTCCACTCCAGCCGAGATAAGAACAACTTTTGGGAAAGCAAGGCTATGTGCAATTCAATGAAAACGTCAGCTCATTTGATATCATTGTGGGAAAATTCTACTACCAGTCCTTCATCACCTTACACGAAATAGGGTGAATACATCTCATCACACTGATTTACTGGTAGTCTCGAAACCCTACTTTAATACGAATATAAGTAACGTTGTCGATTACTATAGAAAACATATTGCTGATGAGGAGCATATCATATGAGATTAGTCACTCCAGCCAAAGCCATCCGCAAACGACGAGATATGCGATGAGCTTATGAGCTGGTGATTAGACCATTTTTTTCCGGTCTCACACAGGTTCGATTCGCCTTCAACCAGCACACCACCAAAACAATAACTGATGAATAAGAACTTTGTCATACAAAGTGGTTTTGGGCAATTTGTATGCAAATAAAGTTGAATATCCCTTCAATTATACGAATTATATTAAGTTAATAGATGAGCAACTAAAAGAACAAGAAGATTTGCTTATAAGTTTTTATGCAGTATCGATGTACAGTAATATATCTGTAAGTGGGACAATAAAGACCATACAGGATTAACCTTAGATCTACACACAGGGATTACATCAGAAGGCAGGTGAGATCATCTTTCGAGAAGTAAAGTCAAGTAAAGTCAAGTCTCATCTCATCTTATCTTATCTCATCTCATCTCATCTCATCTCATCTCATCTC